TACCAAATCATTTCACATTTATTTTCGAAGGTGATCAGAACTGGACTTTGTTCAATCCACCGAAGGATGGATACACAATGCCGAGCAACTTTACACTCGAGATGAAATTGAGGTGGAATTAATTAGTTACTCTTGAACACTCTAAACCAGTAGACCAATGAAAAAATNTGAATTGCACATTAAAATGATTAAAGTAGAACAAAAGAATGTTCAGCGTAAGTGATGAATAGTGTTTCTGCGGAGAAACATTTTCGAACAAACGCTAAACACTAACAGAGCAGGATTTTTCCGACCTGGTTGAAGAGCAAGTAAATTGAGAAGTTCACCGTAAAACTGAACGAAAATTGGATTAATTTTGTTGATAAATACGATCCGTTTTGCACAAATTACGTTTTGTTTTTCCAATTATTCTTCAGCATTTTCACCAGGATCGTAAAATCTATACCAGAAGTCTGAGGGTGGGGTGGGGTGGGGAGTCGTAGTAGGATGAATTGACCGAGGATCATTCGAAGGAAGAAGCCAAGATGAGTGAAATGTTTTGGAACGATGAATCCAACCGACACACTGTCCCTCCATTTTTTAATGTAGTCTCATGGATTGTTGATGCCCTAACAAGCAATTATGTAATGATCACAGTGTATCTCATATCCAGTCCCAAGACGATATCAGTCCCAAATTATTTGTGAGAGTAGTTTTTGTTTATCAAAACATTTTTATGGTTGACTGCTGATACGGACAGTAAGTTCTGCGGGACTGTTTGAATAATCCAAGAAGAATGGATTGTCTGTGTCGAATTTGAGTTTTTCTGACAGTATCAAGTTAACGAAGATCTACGGGATTGGAACACGTTTGCTAACCCCCACTCTTGTAAAACTGGTTGAAGCGGTGGATAACCTGCGCAAATGACGCGTTTGCACTTGACAAGGCTAGTTGAACGCGTCGTATATCACAATGAGTCCTGTTTGAACCGCCTACTTTTAACAGGCTGGTGACATTTGCATAGAACAGGTAACTGGAAAAAGCGTTGGGGAATTTTGGGTGAATTGAAATTACATTTATTCCTCTCAGCTCCCTTTAAAATAATTACATCAGATATCGGATTCATGCTAACACGAAATTGTGTTCTATCGCTGAAGACGGAGTTTAAAATTTCATCAAGAAAGGTTGACAGTCTCCAAACCCAAGTCTCATTTCAAGACTTTCACGTTCCACTGTAAAACCTTTCACTTGCGTCATTAGAACCCGCACAGTGATTCCAACCAAAATTACTGCCTCACACAGGTACACTGCTAGGTAATAAAATAGATCGAGTTTAGGACGAAGTCAAATTTTTTGAAGCTCCAGAACGGTTATTTTCACAAACGATAGACGATATAGCAAAAGTGAATAGGACACTTTTAGATGACAGAACATTCCAAATCAACACAGAATGAGAAATTTCACCAAAAACCGTACCACGAGAAAACTACAAGTTCTACAGTCGCATAGCTGCAAATTTGGAGCCCATTGGAGACCAAAACATCAGTCCGCCCAAACTTCACAATCTTGAGATTCTACGTATGCAATCCATCACCAACTCGTCCGATGATTGAAATACATTCTTAATCTTATTGCCAATCCTTTCACACCTCATTGTTTGAAGGAGTTTTGAAAGTAATGATCGAAAAATTTTAGAAAATTTGTCAGAGCCCCCGCATGCTTTAGATGTTTACTCTCTTTTCACTGATATGCTTATTCATGAAACAGTTTACACGTTTTACGTAATCTTATTCTTTCAAGCAATTTTACCCCTAATATCCCTGTTGCTTATTTAAGACAATAGAAAACCCAGTGATTCAGAGGCTTCAGAAACTAAGTGTGCACTGGAAATGTCATGGTATTCTATCGTTCACCACTATCTTCCCCCCAGGCACCCTTCTCTCGCTCTCATATACACAAACCATGCAATACGCAATTACATCATCTCGTTCTGAAATCTTATTTCTTTCGTGATAATGTGTTTCCTCTCATCAGCTGTTCAGTTTACTATAAAACATTATGCACTTAGTCAATTAACAAAGCACCGAACTCGAGCTTGTTGGTTAATTTGCGTTGTCATCACCATTCAGTCCCGGTATGCTTTTTCTCATCTCGAAACACATAAGCTTCTCACATACATTGCGATAAGAAGAGGAAGTCCCGAGAAGAACATTGCTATTATTTAGATGGGTCATAGAAATAGACAATAGACATGTCCAAAATAAGGGCCAATTTCACTATAAAAATGCAGTCTATATCAAGCTATCGTTCATAGGTGATCAAATGCATTGAGCTTTGAAGTCGGCTGTAGACTGCCGCTCATACCATACTCAAAATCTTTACACATTAAATCCATTTGGACAGCGGTGAGCATGACCGGGAGACCACTTTTATCTCGCGCACTGCACAAGTTCACCTGGAATTGCGGTGGAGCATACATTGGCAGAACAAACCGTCCACTATCGCAACGGGCGACCGAGTACATTCTAAAACACTTGAAGAAATTAATAAGGTGACCAGAAGGTACCCGTGATGATGTCTCCTGCCAAACTCCTCAAATTACCGACACACAGTACAGTTGAGCCGCTCCCTCCGGCTCATCTTTCGAACTGCTGCTAACTGATCATAGTTAGATACGTTTGGTGTTTTAGTAAAGTGTTGCTTGTGCAATCGATCATATTATCCGATTTTATGTGCCCAAGGTTATGGAAGTTATTAAATCCCCTTCAGGGTAGTTGACGTTTGACTTCAATGTTTTGGTTGTCTTTGTTTGCATGCACACGTTCGGTAATTGTGACTGATCTGCTCAGTGTGCCATATATATATATATATATATATATATATATATATCATTATCGGATTGTTTTACATTTGCATTTGAGTAGATTAAGCAACAGTGATGAATTACGAAGCTTTTGATTTTTTCAGTACTGTTGAAACCAATCAAGGGAACCCATTCTTTGATATTTGTTTTTCACGCAAACTGGAAACATTCAATTTTGGTTTTCCGACATCCCGGCGTATGTTTAATCGGTTTGCATTGGGATGGGCGTAACCTACCGGTGGAGGTTCTGATCGATTGCCCTGATAGAGGCACATGGAGGCCGTTTCTGTAGCTGTCTTTTTGTTTATCGTCAAACACGAACAAGTAAAATGGCATCATACGGATGACTATTTTGTCCCCACAGCGCATTTTTTATCTTTTACTGGGACACTAATGCTGAAGGACCTTGAAGCTGAACGGAACAACTGCCAGCCCCGTGTTGAACACAAAAATGGTTGTCCAAAAATATTCGGCAACATTCCTGACCGGTAAACCAGTCCAATCTCATGACAAGGAATAATTAGGGCGCTAGATAATGACGTTTTCATTAGAAGAAACGAAAAGATTTAGTAAACTAAGTTTGCGCTCGATTCATGTTTCACTGCAACATTACTCGTGAAAAATGTTTGTTTTACTTCTCATTGAAAAAGATGAACAGCAGTTTTCTGCGTCTCAAAATTGTGTCGCATGTCATGCCGTATGGTCACGTGATGTGTGAAACACGGCAAGTTATGACCAATCACACACACATCAATAAAATAAATATAAACTGGAAAAGTTGCCCTTTCTGTTTGCCATGTCTGAGGTACTAAAAACTTGGAATAAATGAAACCGCGGCGAAAATTGCTACGAGTTATTTCGGCCAACTCGGATAAATTGCATTGAGCACTTATCCAGACTGTTCACCAAAATGTAAAAGATGCCACTCAAGTGGGTTAATTCGAAACTGAGAAATAAAGGAAATATTCACGTTCCTTACTCGGTACAGTTTTGAACAAATTCAATTTATCCCGTTAGCAAAAGGGTGATACGTCCCGCAGGATTCGCACATAAGCAACAGCCATACCTTCAAAGAACTTCTGTTCTGTAAGCTGCGCAATGAGATTTGTTGAACGATTCGGATGCATGCAAAGCCCTACTAGCTGCATTCTAACGGATGCACAGAGAATATATGTGGCCTAACAGTTGAGTTACGGTCGAATTCGACCTTGTCGAATCCTTCAACGAGATACATGGCTTTTAAACTTTGAGAAATAGGATCGTTCAATACCTGGGGCGTGAAAGATAGCACACACACAAACACAACTGGTCGTTGTCACTAGTCACTGCAAGTCCAACCGAAGTGGTAGTGTGTAAACGTATCCGTGGGGTGACCTATCAAATGAAGAANAGAATTGATGTTCCGCATCAAATGCCGCCTTTGAAACCAGAATTTTTCAACCCTATACTATTCTCAAACTTGCAGAGGGTCTAGCCCCAGATAATATCATCTGTATCCAGAATGAACAGATATCACACGCTTGATATCTTTCCCGTGCAATACGGTTACATTAAAAAACCCACTAGACACGCAAATCTAAGGGAACCATGGAGACCTCAAGTTTAAGTGTCCATCAAAAATTAAATGCTTTTGCCTACATTTTTATGCTACTACAGCAATGGACGGGTACAAGGCGTAATACCGTCATATTTTATTGACCCAGACCATCTAGGGACGGGACTTCTGGGTGTGTGTGTGTGTGCTGGTGTTTGTGCTGAGGATAACCTCGTCCTGTGAACGGAAGGGTGCGTAATCGATTGAACAGCTAATTTGACGCATTTGGTCGGCTGCCATGCCCGATTTCAGTTCGCATTGTCAGGAGTTCAGACTGGTGTAGAATGTTTTACCGTTGTTTTTAACCTTGGGGCAGAGGAATATCTATTGGTTTGCCGAAAATGTGCTTGGTGAACCCTTCGAATAATTTTTAATAAACTGCAACTGTTCTCGTCTAGATGGTCGTTTGCTTGTGCACACGAGTTAAGGGCGAAACCCGATGAAGACTACAAATGTGCTGCAGTCAAGTTCCATTCTGGCGCCTGATTTCAGCTGATATTCTTTGCAAATCGATGTTTACTTTAGTCAAACGAGTACCTTCAACGGACAATAAAAATAGGCTCGATAATGTTGCATTAGAAGCGCGTGTAATATCATCATCTAACGTACCGAAAAATTCGTACAACACTATCAGTAGTGGAACGAGACACATTGATGCTGTCCACAGCTACAATGAAATCGCCCGGTTGCACACCAGCTTGCAAGGCCGGTGAATTCGGTTCCACGTGACTGACGTACACGGGACAGCCACCGGACAAAGTGAAACCAAATCCTTTAGGCCCACGAGCTAGAAGGAACTGAAATGAAGAAAGGCAAAGTGAGTTTAGGTACTGATGGGAAGTAGCGATTTGTGATAACACGACACAGTCAGATATCACGGGATTTACTAAGATGCTGATCTACTGTTATTACTACTACTACTACTACTACTACTACTATTACTACTACTACTAATATCAAGTATTAGCCGTTTTACAGTTCCTTGTTCAAATGTTCTACTATCAAAATTATTTTCCGAAAGGATGCACAATTTATTGCAACGATACATCTACCTCATTAGGAACGTAACATCGCGATCCATTTTCTATGCTCGCACGTGGACGAAATCACCAAATGAGGATCTAGGATCCAACTGGATTGCCTCTGAATGATTGTGCTCCAAGTGAGATTACGTTCGACGTGCAGTGGCTGTGTATGCCCGATGAAGAAGGTCAACTGGAATACTTCTAGGTAAACAGCCATGGTGATGACAATTGACAGTGTAGTTTAAAGCCGCGGGATGTGGTTTGTTAATTGTTAACAGTGATGTGAATGCCGTTCAATCGTGAGGTGACTTCTGCAACCGATTTTCAATGCCTTGTTGTATTCAGTGGATTGAGTGTTTGGGAGGACTTGAAGTCAGATGGTGTTTCCTGGTCCAAATTACTGGGCGCGAGTTTCATAGTCAACCATCAGGTATACTCGTAATGGAGCAAAACGGTATGCAAACTAAGAACCATGTATAATTCTTCTCATGGGGACTTAATGTTTTACGCTTTCTGTCTAAATAGGCATGTAAAACAGATGTGACTCAATGAATTTGGCGAAAGCTAGTAGACTCAACCGAATAACAGTCATGCAGTAGAAAAATCACACGCACACTCTGGAAGCAAGATGAACAAATCGCGATTCCCGTGAAATTACCCTAAACAAATGCATATTATTCAGTGCTTGATTGGTTTTCGGCACTGTGATTGCGACTTGAGGAGACCCCGGGGGTGCCGCGGAACTGAAAGAGGGATTCTGAAACTGCATGGAGGTAGAGGGGAAACGTGCATTGGGCGGACTGATCATCGGACTGGTCAGGCGAGGACCAACTGAATTGCCCATCGACTGCTGTGCTAAGCACAGTCCAGCGCTGCGTTCAAGTGTGTTCATTTGTCCTGTGGTTGCCGGGGTTCCTGGTGGTCCAACGCTTTCCATCCTTTGGGGGCTATTATCGCTTTGGGTCAGAATCGGAGCGCAGTCCCGTTGATTAGATTTGGGCCCATCAGAAGAGGCAAGCTGAGCTTCAGCTCCGGCTCGAAGATGCTTTTTACGGGCCATTGTCTCGTTGAGCAGATAATACCAACCAGAGATCTGATAGAAATAGAAACAATAAATTGACTTCTTTCGAATAATGCAAAAAGTGTCCACAGGGAATCGTTATTTCTACATGACGAAAGGAAGAGATAAATAGCATGGGTGGAGCTGTCGAAATGTACTATTAAGTAGAAAAGATTTCTTAGGAAAAAAAGAACGCCTGGTCTATCCGGTGGGCTAACGGATACAAAAAATACTCTCTCACCAGTTAGACTGCTCCAAAACTTGGAGGTTTAATATAAACCTAAACTAAGTCGAGACCAGAGTTGAAACGGAGATTGTGCAGTCAAACACCAATTAACTTCGTTGGGAAATCCAATGCTCACAGTAATCAAACAACCTTTGTTTACAGGACAATGCAGGCTTGGCATAATACCAATCGACTGTCACTTAGCGCATGAAAAGCGCCGGAATAATGTAAATTCCTGGGAGCGCAAAAAGTAAGATGTTTGATCGGTTTTAGTAATTTTTCGTTGGTTTGAAGTAAACTTGCACGGACCGGATTATTGTAAATCATCACACAGGCTGCAAAGCTGGTATCAAGCACCTGTTAGATCAAGTTGTGGGTCGAAAATAAGCTTGACTGCGAAATGAGGAACCCGAAGGTAAGCAGAAGGAAATTATTGTCTACTTGACTCCTATAACCACAGACAGTTTTCGTGTGACTAAAAGCTATTCTGGAAATGAATGATTTTCACGATTTCCATGGTTTTTTGACTTGGTGCTGCTGATAACAAGGTATAAATCATTAAAAAACCCGTTATTTTATTCGCCACATAATGTATTACATAATGTGCATAATGTAGTACTGCTCAAAAGGAAACAAAAGTCAGTTTTTCAGAAACAGATTATAACATACCTCTTTCTTCGTATGGATTCCGCTGACGCCAAACGACATGCCTCCAATCAGTTCACTGACAATGAGAACAGGGAATAACGAAAAACAGTTAACTTTTACCGTACGAAACAGAGTAAAATACAGCGGACAAACTTCTCCCATCGTGTCACGGGGAGAGAACTCTTAGCAGTCCTGCAACACATTCATTTATCATCCACGAGAAGCAGGTTGTTAGTGTATGACTATAGCGAAACATGCCAGACCTTTACCACAGATGTATGCTGGACAAAAGCGAACAAGGAAAACATCGATTCGTCCCACAAGAAAAACAAGATCACCTTCAAAACACCCCTTCATTTCAATAAACCGAACTCTGGTGGTAATGGAACGGTACTTATTAAAACAAACGATCGATTGAAAAGAAATCTATCACTCAAAAAATATAAACAAATAAAGATTGAAAACAAAGGATTGCAAATTGTGATGCGGTAACAAATCGATAACTGGATCAATTCGTCAATTCATCTCTTCTTTTTTGAATTGTAAAATGTAGTGTAATAAGCTAATCAATCGCACACCTGCTTTTCACAGGTGAAAAAGAGGCGACTGCGGTATGATTGAATAACAAACGAAATGGCAAGCCTTGCAGACTATCCCGGTGGGGTTTTCTAAACTTTACCGAATAAATACTGCAGAAGAACAAGCGGAAATTTGTTTTGTATCATAGACACGGGTACGGAAGCGATTACTGTTATTTCAAACGATAACTTGTACACAGTGTTAGACCGGCCCTTAACTCTTGAAAAACCTGCACCAATGAAGTCCTCTGTGCGCAACTCCCATCAACGGAAAACAACTTACTCTCACAGTCTTTGATTAAAACAAATTGGATTCAAATCAGTTTTTAAGGGTCAGTTATTTTGTTTATTTGATAAAGAACTGATTTAAAAGCCATTATTTCAGTGCTGTAAGGAGAAAGTGGGATGATATCACTTAGTTTTGCCTTCCAGGTTTGTACAAAAACTGGTCAATTTTTGTACACACT